AATCATACAGTATGTTTCTACAGAATAACATATTATAAATCATACAGTATGTTTCTACAGAATAACATATTATAAATCATACAGTATGTTTCTACAGGATAACATATTATAAAACATACAGTATGTTTCTATAGAATAACATATTATAAAACATACAGTATGTTTCTACAGGATAACATATTATAAAACATAGTCTTTTTACAGAATAACTTGAGAGAGACATCAGAAGACTGAGATGCGATGTAAGTTGATGATACGTTAGTAAATTACAACTAGATTGTTATATTTTAACTACAGGAGTCAAGTTCATGTGGGAGTGTACTGTGGAGTCGTTAGAACAGCTCAAGTCTGGAAAAGGTTCGGGATGTATCCTCGCACATTGTATGGGGCTTGGAAAAACCCTACAAGTTATCACCTTCATCCATACACTACTTAATAACAAATACACAAAGAAATTCTTCTCGTCAGTACTGGTGGTCTGTCCGTACAACACCGTCCTTAACTGGAACCGGGAGTTTGAAATGTGGCTGGAAGAGGAGGAACTTCAGATTAGTGTAATTATGTCCTGTCTTGTCTACCATTCAATCCAACACTTTTCAGTTCAGTTATATAGGTTTTTGGGGAATTCAACAATTTGTTAGGAACCTTGAACAAGGACACTTTGAAAGAGCAAAAGTAGATTTTTTATCAGTTGTCTTTGACTCACCACAGCAAACCTATATTTGTATAGGAATTGAAGAATATGTATCATTAATGCTACTAATCTATGGATCTAACAAGCTGCTTAAAGTACTAAGAAATATATATAAAATCCAGTTCCTTAATACTTTACTTTTATTAGACTTTAGTGTTGAGAAAACAGTTTTTAAGTGTTCATATATCTTGCCAATCTTCACCTTTTTCATATTGTTAAAAAGAAGGTAGTTTTAGGCACATACACGCCTCACTGTTAATACAATTCTTCTCTCTGTTAAATTACCAAATCAGGATCTGTGTGTTTGTTATCATATTGTTTTGTTTATGTTGACATTTGTTGACCAGTCTGTTGGATACATACAGGTACAAGAACTTGCAAGTATAAGAGATAACTATGCTCGAGCTAGTAAACTGGATGAATGGAAGGAAGAAGGAGGAGTCATAATTATGGGCTACGACCTCTTTCGTCTTCTTGTTCAGGACAAATCTCGTGGAAAACGGATCTCAAAAAGACTTCGAGATAGGTTTTGTAAAGCACTTCTTGATCCAGGTAGGTTTATGTATGTTGGGTACATTTAATGTTTACATAGATAGGTTTTGTAGAGCACTTCTTGATCCAGGTAGATTGATGTATGTTGGGTACATTTAATGTTGTTTACGTAGATAGGTTTTGTAAAGCACTTCTTGATCCAGGTAGGTTTATGTATGTTGGGTACATTTAATGTTGTTTACGTAGATAGGTTTTGTAAAGCACTTCTTGATCCAGGTAGGTTTATGTATGTTGGGTACATTTAATGTTGTTTATGTAGATAGGTTTTGTAAAGCACTTCTTGATCCAGGTAGATTGATGTATGTTGGGTACATTTAATGTTGTTTACGTAGTTTGTGTGAGATGTGATCAAATGTACCCAACATACAGCTTGCTGAAGAACAAAAAATGTTGTTTACATAGTTTGTGTGAGATGTAATCAGTTGTTCCTCAGCAAGCCGTATGTTGGGTACATGTAATGTTGTTTACATAGTTTGTGTGAGATGTGATCTTTTGTTCTTCAGCAAGCCGTATGTTGAGTACATTTGAGTTAAGTTTTGGTTTCCTTCTAAGTACAACTACATGATTACTGTTGTAACATCAATTAATAATGAGATTATATTAAGTTTTGGTTTGCTTCTAACTTAATCTGCTTGGTTGCTGTAAAACATTATCATACTTAATGTAGGTCCAGATCTTGTTATTTGTGATGAAGGCCATATCTTGAAGAATAATACCTCGGCCATTTTTAAAGCCATGAATCGAATAGTGACAAAGAGGAGAATCGTTCTGACGGGTACTCCCTTACAGAATAATTTGGCAGAGTGTAAGTAATTTCTTGTTGTGAAAGTATTAAAACTGTGAACCATTTAACCCTTTCCAGAGCAGCTTTCTGAGATATCAAGTTTCAAAACAAGTAAAAATAATAATTGTAACTATTTCAGCAATTTGTTTTAAACAAATACATCTTAGAGTTGATATTTCATAATTTTGCAATACCTGTTTTAAAAAAAGTTTTGGTTTTCCCATAGCTCTGAAGGGTATCGCCTTTAATTAAACGACACCATTTATTAATCTTAAAAAAAAATCTGCCTTTCCCAAATTATAGGTTTATACGTACTCAGAAACTGTCATCTTTAGGTAATAGACTTATCCGTGTTTTGTTTTTCGTGCGTCCTGATTGGACAGTTTATTATGATGTCACAGCATGGGGGTTGTAAAGTAACTTCTAATTCTCATCCATCTACATTAATGTAAAGTAAATGAAGTGGTGTCAACAGTAACTTGCGGTTTCTAAAAAAAGTGACTTATGGAAGTTCCCACTGGGGTGAACAGAAGCTTAATGTACTTAGAAAGAATGTCACGAAGCTGAAAAGTTTCTTTTGTTAGTCTCTTTGTTTTTATATTATTAGCTGTTTTAATACTATAGAAATATTTTTTATGAGAAGACATAAGATAAGGATATTAAGGTAAGTTAGGAGTTCTCAAATAGCTAACTATTAAGGTGACAGAAAAACCTTTATGTTAGTAAATGTAATGTTAACCAACCAAAACATACAAAAACTCTTTAGTTATTCACAACAAATGATAATTATTAGAGAGAAATTGTGTTTGATAAAATTGGAAAAATATTTCCTATATTAATCTAGGCATAGGATAAAGATCTAAGTAGTTTTTCCATTGGTCAGGGTTGTTTTATGCTATTTTCACAGCCAAGATTATGGCTTCAGTGAGAAGTGATAAATGTAAATAACTGATGAATATGTAAAACAAGTTAGAATTCATTGGATAAATAAAATAATAATAAACTTTGTTTTTTCCTTTCATATTTTCCAATTATTACTTTCATTGTATGTGCTGTTACTAGACGAAAAACACAGAAACTTTACAACTTTATTGAAAAGTAACTGTGAAATCCACTTGCAAGATTTTAGACACATAAAAAAAAAGAAAAGTGTGAGATCAATGGAAGTATTTTTTAAGCTTTTTTTTGAAACTCTTAGCAACAAAATTTACAAAAAATAATGACTTAAAATATAATACAGATACTAAATCAAATATTGTAAATAAACTAGATATTATGTAGAGAATGTCTACTATGTTTTATGCAGTTTGTTCACGTATTTTATGTGTCAGAGCAAAAGATGTGCCCGAGAAAGGGTTAATATCCAAAAGGTAAGTTTTTATTGATAATGCCTCAGATAACCTGGTTGAAAGATGGGTGTTTAATATTGTTCCTGTGTGCTGCTAAATAACCCATTTATTTATTAGAATTATAAATATCTTATTTCTTGTAACTTTCCTAATTAACCCAGATATCATATTGCAGAATATTTTTGTGTTTCTCTCTGTATATCTTTTAAGCCTTTCTGTGTTTCTCTGTACATCTGTAAGTGAATTATCTGTAAATATATTGTTACATTGTTTAATCTTTCATTGGTTTGTTGATATTTCAAATTTAGAAATTTTATATGTAGACATATTTCATCATTTAATATATAATTTGATCACTATTAACTATTTGTGAAAGTACTGACTGTTTTATATAATTTTTTTTTCAGACCATTGTATGGTGGATTTTGTGAAACAACGACTTCTTGGTACCAAAAAGGAGTTCTTTAACAGATTTGTGAATCCAATTACTAACGGTCAGTGTGCTGATTCAACTCCTCAAGATGTCAAGCTAATGAAGAAGCGAGTTCACATTCTCCACAAACTTCTTGAAGGCTGTGTACAGGTGATTTTTACATCAGTTGTCTTATAACAAAGAACCAAGATTTAAATGTTAACAAGGCTCTAGAATGTTACCTTCTACTATTAGTGATAAAACTTTATGAATTCCTCGTGATAGATGTCACACTTCTCAGAAGGCTGTATAAAAGTATTCTAGTTCCTAATAAGAATCATTAAGTAAACATGTGCAACACCTCCTGTCTGGGTTTCCAGTGTATCTGTTTCTAGATGGGTTACATACAGGAAAACATTTATTGCCAAATAAAAAAGCTATGTAGGGCTGGCTACTGATCTTGGAAAAAAGGAACTAAATAAGATAAGGATGGAAGTTGACATATCACTTGATCTGGTTAATGATCACGTAGCAGGCTAAGCTGTCTTGACTTTACATGGAGAATAAAATCCCTACCTTACTGGCTTCCCCACTTTGTCTATCGAAAACTTGGTGTTTGAATAGAATTTCACCATTAAACCTTTCCTTTAGCTTACTTTATAATACTACTTTTATGACTATTTTACCACATAGTAACATTTTATGATTGGAAATTCTGGTTCTGTTTGTTTTGCCTGTGAGGAAGACAGTAATATATTTATTTTATTCTCCATGTAAAGTTGAGACAGCTTAGTCTGCTATTATTAGCTGATCAAGCGATATGTCCACTTCCATCCCTATCTTGTTTGGTTCCTTTTTCAAGTTCGGTATTCAGCCCTACATAACTTTTTTATTTATCCTTTATATAAGATGGTGTACGTTGGTTAATAGGTTATAGACGTATTCTAAAGCTTTATAAATTTTGCATCGAATAATAATAAAATAGGTAGTCAAAGATCGTGAAGACTGTTTTGCTCTATCAAATGATGATAAATTAACGAAAATAACAAATCTTGGTTTTGCCTATTCATCTATTTTGACTCTGTAACACTCTGGATGGTTGAAAAGTGGCACATATACAAGAGATTATGCCAGGTAGCTCTTTATATCTAGCTTCTGATGACCTGTATAGAAGAAAATCCAGATGACTTTTGTATATTGCTTTAATACGGGTGTTCGTGCCATCCCTACATAGAGAGTGTTAGTGCACTCTCGGATAATCCCTAGATAATCACTAAGTAAACATGTACGACACCTTCAGTTAGAATTTTAATGTCTTGTTCTCTTTGTTTGTGTTTATAATGTCTGAAGGTCGTGAAAGTTTTTTTATCTGTAGAAGACAGAGTGTATTATAAAGAAAGCTATGGTTTCTTTGTTTTTTTTAATGCCATTGCATGATTGTAATGATAATGATAAGTCTATTTATTTGTAACATTTACAGTGTAGTACAAATGTTTTCTTTCACAACATCTGTAGTTACATTCAATTAGTGTTTGTTAATGTTCAATTTCTTCTTTTACAGAGGTGTGATTACAGTGTCATTAGAAAACACCTACAAGCTAAACATGAATATGTTATTTGTGTCCGACTCTCAGATACCCAGATAAAATTATATCAGTATTTTCTGGACAACATGGCTCGAGGTAGACAGGTGGGTGGTCACAAGGTGGCCTCTGTCCAGCTGTTTTCTGATTATAGTGCTCTCCGCCAGATTTGGACCCATCCATATATCCTGTACTTGAACAAGATTCGTGAAGGCAACAAAATGGTAATAATAACTTTGTGATTTGTAATCATGATTGTTTTTCATAGAATTGCTGTAAACTCATTTTATGCAATGCAATTCTAAAAAATATAATTGTTTTTTGTATGCCTAAGAAGCCAGTTTTACCATTAGTCACTAATTTTAACCTTGTAGTTTCAGTTGTAGTGCTATGTAGCCAGTTTTACCATTAGTCACTAATGTTAACCTGTAGTTTCAGTTGTAGTGCTGTGTAGCCAGTTTTTACCTGTATAATGACTAATGTTCACCCTGTAGTTTCAGTTGTCGTAGTGCTGTGTAGCCAGCTTTTATCAGTATAATGACTGATGTTCACCCTGTAGTTTCAGTTGTCGTAGTGCTGTGTAGCCAGTTTTTATCAGTATAATGACTAATGTTCACCCTGTAGTTTCAGTTGTCGTAGTGCTGTGTAGCCAGTTTTTATCAGTATAATGACTAATGTTCACCCTGTAGTTTCAGTTGTCATAGTGCTGTGTAGCCAGTTTTTATCAGTATAATGACTAATGTTCACCCCTGTAGTTTCAGTTGTCGTAGTGCTGTGTAGCCAGTTTTTATCAGTATAATGACTGATGCTCACCCTGTAGTTTCAGTTGTTGTAGTGCTGTGTAGCTGGTTTTTACCAGTATAATGACTAATGTTCACCCTGTAGTTTCAGTTGTTGTAGTGCTGTGTAGCTGGTTTTTACCAGTATAATGACTAATGTTCACCCTGTAGTTTCAGTTGTTGTAGTGCTGT